CAATTATGGTTTTAAAAAAGAAAATCAGTCCCAGTCATATTTGAACCACCTTGTATTATATATATTGTGACAGATTTGTTCAAAGCATTAAGCTATAGATCTAGAAAAAAGCCACTGAATGGTAAACACATTCAAACAAACATGTGGTGGCCAACAATACAGGGGTGGTGTTTTCTACGCGGTTAAGTCCGAGACCATTGCTAGGCAGTAGCTAGTGTGCCGAAGGGCTGGATGGGTAGCAATCACATGGGAACCCCAACAGACATGCACACAACAATGGAAGAGCTGCGCTTTCTGTGCATGGTCCGTGTTGAGAGGATATAATAAGAATCAGCATAGTACAGTTGGACTCAGTTGTCGTAGATCAGAATTCAGGGAGGTGGTAGTTGAAGGAATTAGACTGTGCCAAAACACTTAGTGTATCACATTACATTTTCCATAGTACAGTGATATTAGGAGTGTGTAATTTAGTGAGCCTTTTATAGTTCCTGTGTTATAAGTCCATTGCCAGGAAACAGATATTGAAGACTGGCAGAAATAGACTGAGAAGATCAGTGTGGAGTGATTTGTAAAGTGGAAATCAGCATCAGGGTTATAATTACTTGTAGTTATGAGCTGAAAGGTGTCAATAAATGTAATCATTCAATCCAAAACCCATTATTATTAGTAACAGAGCCATAAACACATGACAACTGGTGTCAGGAGTGGTTAACGCAGCTAAACTCATGTTTCATTATATATTGTTCTTCTGACAACAGGCCAGCGAAAAATCTAACAATCTACAGCAAAACCATCAATTATTATGGGCATTATAACATAGGTGTGCAGCTGGACAATACATAGACGTCGAACCCCTGCAGACGATTTAAATCCCTTGATGAAACATACACGGCAAACCGCGCTGAGCGGTTAAAACCATAAATATGTGGTAAGACTGGATTGATGACTGCATTGTGTACTTATATCACCACACCAAGGAATTGCAACAAATAATGGAAATACTGACCGAAATGAAGGCTGACATAACCCATTGGTCAGAGGTGGGCGCCAACAAGATGAAGGTGGATGCCAGTATGGAAACCAACCAAGAAATGCTGGGCAGGATGCACATATATCTAAAGTAAATGAAAGAAGAAATGCCGGCCAAGATGGAAGCTAGGATGGAGGACAATAATGAGAAGTTTGAGATCCTTCAAAGCACTCTCGTCTCCTGGATGGACATACATCAGAGAAGCTGGAGGCCACAATTCACTCCCTGAGGTCATGGGAAAAAAAGAGACAATGGTCTGCCAAGAAATTATGGAGGCGCATCTGGGGTGCAAGGAACCAACCTCACAGGACATGGAGTCTGAAGCGGGGTATCAGGAGGTCCCTAAGGAACATGCCACAGTGGAAGCTGGCAGAACGCCAAATAAGTGGCATAAGGACCGGCATCTAGCCAAAAGCACTGCCAAGAGTCAATGGAGCAGATTGGGGGAAATTGCAGATCCCAGAAGAAATTGGTCACAAAAGGAACCCAGAAAGGATGAACAAAGGAAAAGAGATGCTGGAAGGTCCCAGAATGCAAAATGGGAATAAAGGACCCAGGCACAAAACAGCAGCTGTGTCTTAAGGTCAAGAGGATATCAGATGGGTTTAACAGAAAGGCTTTCCGACTGGAGTTTGTGAAGTGAGTAGCCAGGATATCCAGCGTGTTGTGGAAAGTGGGGAACTCGACCTCGTGGAAGGGTCATCCCCTCCGGATGGGGAAGTCAGGAATTTGACATTGTGGAGGGGTTGGCCCCTTCCAAAACGAAGAACCTACTAGCAGCATTAGCGTAAGAAGAGCTGGAAGTGTGGAAGCACCAGCTGTTTGGGATACTTTTGCCCCACCATTTGAAAAGAGAAATTCTGGATGTTGGTGATGCAACTGGATCTACTCACACCTTATCAGGGAGCTGCTCGGGATGAGCGGCCTTAAGGAGGGAGCAGTTGGTGGATGAACACTGTGGGAAACCGAAACAAACCAGAGATGTCACAAGCAGAACCCTTGGAAGGGAATGAACAGTGACACACTGATAGGCTACTCATCCCGAGTAGCCTTAAGGAGGGAGCAACGTGATGGATTTGCTCAAAGCATTAAGCTATGGAGCCAAAAAAACCATTGGTAGGTAAACACCTTCAAAGGAATATGTGGCCAACAATACAGAAGCAGTGTTTTCAAAGTGGTTTGTGCTGAGACCATTAATAGGCAGTAGCCAGCATGCCAATGGGCTGGCTGGGTAGTGATCATGTGGGAACCCCAACAGACACACGGTTTGTGCCAAGATGATATGAGTCAGGGTGGTTTAGGTGGACTCAGTCGTCACAGACCAGGATTCAGGGAGTCAGCAGTCGAAGGAATTAGACTGTGCTAAGAACACTTAGTGTGTGACTTTACATGTGCTGTAATGTATGTAATTCAGTGAGACTTTTATAGTTCCTGTGTTATAAATCCGTTGCCAGGAAATGAATTGCGAAGACTAGTGGAAATAGGCTGAGAAGATTAGTGTGGAGTGATTTGTAAGGTTGAACTCTGCAATAATGTTATAATTACTTATAGTTATGACCTGTAAGGTGTTAATAAATCAATCATCCAATCCAAAACCCATTATTATTAGTCACAGAGCCATAAACACACGACACTATATACATTTTCTGTTATGTCTATATTTTGTCAGCATTTTATTCCTGATAATTGTTTTCTAATCCATACTGTTGTCTTCTGGGATGACACCATAATGGGAATCTTCATGGCTCTGAGAATCTGAAATTTTGATCTCTGTTAGTATCTTGAAATTTTTACTGCTTGAGCTAAACCTACTAGAGAACTGAAGCAAATGTACCCAAATTTCATGCAAGAGAATAAAAATTCAAAATGCATCCAAAAAACTAATATAAAATATTTTAAATATACATTCCTCAACTCTATTGAGTAGTTTTGAATTTCTCAGGCATTCTTTTCACTAGTTGCACAAAATACACATCTGGCAGATATGAAAAATGCCATCAATGCCAGAAATGGATCCGAAATCTACCATGTTCCATAAAAGTGGCTTTATTAAATCAAACTACCGACATGCAGAAAAATGGCATTAAGCACTTAATTTAAAGAACATGTGCATAGTTGCACAGGTCCAAGTGAAAAGGTTTCTTCCCACACTGGTTATGAAAGCTTTGCATATTGTCATTGATATACCAATATTCATTCATATACAATATAGTTTTGCTTTTGACTGCATGTTAAAATCGGTTTTCATTGTTTTTCTGGATATGAATGTTTTTCACAGTATATGATTTACAGAGTTTTTTGTTTAAAATATCCACAAGCCTGCTTCAGTATATATAAATGAGTATAAAACTCTGATTATACAAAAACTTAACTTGTAATAGCAGAAGAATAAGTACATTATATTAAATGCTGTTTTTTTTTATGAGGGTCAAATATATATCATTTATGTTCATGTGACATGGTTAACATGAGTTATAACAGTTTGGAATGATTTACAATTGCCTTCCATTCATTAAAATATTATAAGTATGATTCTTGTTGTGCCATTCAGAGCATCTATGATCTGATCACTGTCAGTATCTTATTACCATTTCTCATGTTAGAAACAACCACATGAGCTCCAAATGCCATTTGACTTCTCTCTTTAACAACACGTTTCTAATTTAATCTATCAAATTTTATGTCTTGTAATGAGGTCCCTCAAGATTATAGATATATTATCTTCCCCACAACAATCCTCAAACAGCAACTTCACTTCATTAGTTGACAATGTCACACCTCTTTTAGGGTAGCATTCCCTTTATAGCACATTTTCTTTCCTTAAGGAAAAAAGCAGGTTTATGATATCACCATGCTGTCAGTGTATGCATATGTCTGTACACCCATTTCAGTGTTTGAACCAAATGGCTGATATTAATTAAATCTGATATGAACATGATATCACTGGTGGCCACCCAAACATCATATTTCTTAATTTCCTACAATCAGTAATGAAACCACGATTGTCATGTGAACCTGTGAGGTGACAGCAACACTAGTGTTATTTAAAATAGGAACCTGAAATGATGTGTGGTAATAGTTCTTCGTAAAATATGCCTCTTCTCTCAAGACAACTTTTTCATAAAAAGTAACATAACATGGTGGCTTTAGCTTTTGCTGTGATTGCAATCATTAATTAACCAGTGGAGCTCCAGGAATGTGCAGCACGTCCACAAATGAGTGGCACCACTGCTTTCATAATTGGTTCCGGAGGACACTACATTCCATTGGATGTGATAAAAAAATGTGACCATTGATATAAATTTGTCCTCTCTTTTTAACTACATCATCTCTTCCCATTTGATAGCACCATATTCCATACCTCACCCTTAACCGTCATTGTGACATCTAAATATTGGTCTAATTCCCCTTTCTACCCCCATTCACTTTGAAGATTGTGATCACAATGTATGCTGAAATACTGAAACAGCTTCAGCATGTGTGAATAAACCCCAAAAGCCAACATTACATATTGCAGTTATCTTTGACAGATTACTTGAGTTTCAGAACTTTTCTGATTACCTAAGTATATGCTGTAATGGACAAATGGAATTGAAATGGGAGAAAATGGACTTATCACCTACCAAAGATGGACATCACTGGAATTGGTGAATAAATATGTATCACCTAAAGAAGAGAGACTGAAAAACATAGGGAGAGATGGATAAGTAAGAATGAAGCAGAAATTTTGTCTTCAAAAAGAAGACAAAGAGGACAAACAATTGCTATAAATAAGCCACATTTCATCCTGGTAAGTTTAACTCAACAGGAAAGGTGTTTTGTATTTCATTGATTCTAAATGCCAGCTAAGAGTCATTATCTAGTGACTTATCATCATCACACCAGTCATATTTGGACATACCACAATGTCAGCAGATCTTGACTGAGGGAGGGAGGAATGGAGGGAGGTCAGCTGCATTCATAAGGATCTGGAATTATCCTGCATATCTCATCAGACACAGAGTTTCTTATAAACTCCTATAGAATTATAATTTTTCTTATATCGGCAAATTCTAGGCAAGGTGTCAGAAACCCTGGATTGGTTTCTGATAGTAGCTTACAATATGCTACACATTAGGTATCCAATTAAACAAATGCATTAATTTCTGCTGAACCAGAATCTACTGATGTGCCTTTAAAACACAAAAACATATTACATGTAACTTTTTAAATATATTGGCTATGGCACAATTTCTTGTGTGGCAAGTGATATGATTAGTAGGGAAAGAAGCACCTGAGATTTATCAACTATTTTTCATTCTCTTTGTAACCTACTGACTTTGCTGCAAAACCATGTAACATGTTCCATTTTCTGCAGGAGACAGGATGGTTATAACCTTATCAATTACATACACATCAAGAAAACTTATGAACTTGTGCAAACTGTTTTCCATCAGCGATTACATAAACCAAATTGTTACATTAAAAGTAATTCATTAAACGTAATTCAGTCTGGGTGTAGAAATCACAGTACACAAGAGCTGTCAGTGAAGAAGACAAAGACTACACATTTTAAGTTCACAATACAGTAGTGAGTTGTTACTTCACATTTCATTATGCAAAATTTTGACAGTACATGTGTATTCTCAGTATTAAAAAACCATCTTAATATAACTTTACTTCTAATGTTAAACCGTTGAAAACAACACTTCTAGTTAACATAAAACTGAAATTATTTACACAGCTTGAATGATTAACCTTCAAATAACACAGCTTTAATCTTCTAGGAAGGAGTTTCATAAACAATAATGCAAGAGTTTCACAAATATCCCTTAATAATTATTACCATAGTGTTGTTTCTAATATTAATTGTAATATTCCAGACTTCAGAGCAAATAAAGTAACAAATTTACTATTAAAGGGAACAGTACCATGAATTAAAAAATACAAAAGCTGACTGAAAAGAAATGACACACAATGTGATCATCAGACAGCTTCCCAAAATAATCTGATACATTTAGGCAGGACAGACACACACTCTGGCTTCAATTCAAGCGACTGTGATTCTGGACTGCTGGAATAATCAACAAACCAAGAGGTTACACACATTTTGTGGTGTTCCACCTTGGTTGACCTTCAATGGACTACATGAAATTATATCACAGGAAAGATAATTCTTCATAACCTCTGGTGTGAGAACCTCAAATCCTAGAAACATTGTGATTTCTCTTCAGTAATGCCCCAACATGGTGCTGAATAGCTGCTGTGAAACTAGTTTATGTGTATCTGCTGGAAAACTGTAATCCTAAGTTAAGTACCTACCCTTGTACTTAGTTGTGTTATCTGGTGTGTCAAAACGCAACATGTGAGATAAACACTGGACCAATAAGTGTTCATGTACTGCACCTATGTGAAAAAAAAAGTTACAGTCTGAATTTTTAGAATGTTACAGTTCAAAAGAGAAAAACTACCACTGCAGTTGTAAATAAGTTAAGACATACACCATCAACATTGATAAAAAACAAAGGAAAGGAGCCAAATCAAAGTAATGAGTGAATGTAAGCTTTTTATAAAGATGGAAGGAATGTGTGCAGAACAATAGATAGCAATTCTCATGCTTTTTGTAATGTGGGTAAGTTCTATTTTAATGTGTTTGCTGGTCTTTTGATTAGAGGTCTGAACTGAGTGTCCAAAGTTGAAGCACAGAGAGAGTGTCTCTTCTGCCTGAGTGGCTCCAACAGTTTCTGGGAAGTTCTCAGATGACTGTCCTGTATAATATGCATATTTCACTCATACAACTTTCTCTCCCCCAAAACAACCAAGTGATCATTATTTCATCATGGTGTCTACTGCACTTATTAAATATTACAGAAATATGAAATTTATTTTCACTTTTTAATGCTAGTCTTACTGTAGTCTTGTTTTTTTTTATCTGCAATATGTAGATTAAATGAACATTTATACATAACAGATCTATGTTGATTCAACACCAACAACTGGAAAACAGAACAGATTTCATGCACATAATACAAATATGGAGCAACCTTAAGCATCCATCAAATCACGACATAATGCAGTCTGGTTTTGAAAACAAATGCCTGTAACAGATGTATATATTTGTGAAAGTGTAGAAGGATTATACTGAATTGCTTATACAAGGAAATACAAGTTACAGAAAAATACTGAACAATGTTAACAATTAAAGAATGAATTACTCAGTGCTGAAATACTGCTATTACAAAAACATAAACCGCAGAAGTTTTTCTGGTGTTTAATAACTGTTCTATTATACAAAATCGCCCACATGGAGTATACTGAGGCAATTTCATGCTTCACTTATTTTCCTTTGTGCTTGCATTTTTAACCCATACATCTAAATTATATGGAAGAATTTAGGAATTTATCTTATAATTCATTTCAGTAATTCAATTATAAGTCTTCTTAAATTATTGGCATCACAATCACAATAATTAAACCTGAGGGTGGGTTAGAAAATAGACCTAAGAAGTTTGTTTTAATACTGTACACAATAATAGTGAATGTAATATGTTTTTGGTCCAAATTCATAATTTTGGATACTGCAGAATCATCCACGTGCTTTTTTGTTTCTCATGTTATCTGTCTCTATGACTAACATAAACATGCTTTCCTGTTTTGTCATCATATTACCAATACAATTTGTATTTTCAAACTGTGTATCTATATCATGCATTCTCAACATTTCCTTTATATTATACTTAAGATGTTCCATAAACAGGCCCTTTCCACATCTCCTTTGACCTGTTATGCTTCCCCCTCAAGCATAATTCCCTATGTCCGTCTCTAGAAGACTAGTCATCCTGCTCACGTGATTACTGGTAGTTAGGACTTTCACTACATACTAGTGTTTTGGAGTGACTGACATAAGTCATACAGGGCCAGGGGGAAATTCAACATTTAACACAAAGGGGGAGCCCTGAGTGATATCATCCCTATCCATGGAACTTCTTTCTACAGTCTCAGTGTAAATGCAGTGTACATATACTTCAGCCAACCACAAGTTATTTAAAGATGTAACAAAATTTTAATTGTAATAATATTAGGGCATGGTTATCAAACAAGACTTTTTCTTTTCTCTAAATTGTTCATTAATGAACTGAAGACTGCTGCATGTAAGGCAGATGCCTATTAGGAATGGACATCAGTACAATGCTGCTCTCACTAGGAACATATGAAAAGATCTACTTTCTACATGTAAAGATATGGGAGTTCTCACCCTGTAGTGCAGACAGGCTAAGGAACCTGCCAAAGTACAGGAACTGGGGTACAAATGCAATGTATCAGACTGGTATTCCAAGTGGTAGGATTATAATTCATCTAGGTTTAAAATGGTAATGCCAGTGTCTAGACAGAATTCACAATTGCATCTATCTTGAACAGATTTTGTGTTAGTTGACTAATATGTTTGTACTCACAACATATGTTTTGAACTTTTAACATATATTATCTTATGTTAAAGTTACCATAATATAACCAATCAACTGAACAGTGTCAGATATTACATTACTGGCCTGTAGGACCAGTATTTCCTTCAGAAAGATTTTTTATGTAATTTGTAGTGTTGTATTTTAGTGTCCTGTTGCGCTGATTCGTATCCGTAATGTGTATATATTTACCGTCTTTTAGTACATACAATTTCACTTGTCACTTCACACTACATGTTTCGGCATCATTCTGCCATCCTCAGGTTAAACATGATAGATACACCTGAGGATGGAAGAATGATGCCGAGACGTGTAGTGTGAAGTGACAAGTGAAATGGTATGCACTAAAAGATGGTAAATATATACACATTATGGGTAATTTGTAGACAACTACACACTTTGTACATTAGGACAAAGGTCAAGGGATGAATAAGGATCATAAATAAATTGTTATATCAAATTCAGTGCTGAACTATTTTCCAAATACAGGTGATATGTCACACACTGCTGCATTTACAGGAATCTCACATTTCCACGCAACTCAAGATCTAATTCCAAATACTTAATATGATACTGATTCTCCCTACCTGTAAGCATAACCTATAAATTTAGATCTATTATGAGTATGACTAAATACTCGTAAGCATTACAATCTTAATTCTGTATCGTATAATTGTGTAGACAGATTCAAAATCATATTTAGTATTGCCACTTATAAATGGTAGGCTGCACATTTATGATTCTGGATACTAGAGCATCATGCATATGCCATTCTGTATTCAGCATGGCAATGAAAATACTATTTAAAAGATAAAACATAAAACCCAAGTATCAAAATTAAAACTACCGTTCATTACAAAAGATGACATTTCTTGCTGCCTTTGTATAAGTACAAGCAGCTATACTATGCATCTAAAACAAATTATGTAATGTAGAAATACTAACATTATCATCAGTTGAAGTTTCTGTGTCCAGTTAATAGCAACAGGATACTGACACTCTGAGCTAAATGCATGTCTTCATCACAGTTTTAAACATGTAAGTGAGAATGAAAATAACCACAACCTAGCCATATTTCCTGAGAATTGGAAATTTAAAATGCTGCTAATAATCTGCCAGTTTCATGTATCTTCAGTAATACTATAAACATACTGGAGCACAGTTTGTAAGAATATTATAAGTCCTACTATTCCTATACAAGGAGATTATGACATTCTGTAGAAAATTGTTTCCCTATTCAGACAAAAGTTCCATGTGCTGCTCATGTCAGATCAGTTTGCACACATCTGTACTAGCGACGTGGCTGACAAATCAACAGTCTATACACATTACAACTTCTTTCCATTATCACCTCAATAAATTGTTGAACAGCTAGCATGAAGCAAGCTTATGAGCTATATGTCAGGTCACTCATAAACCCTGAGCTTCATGGTAGTAATGCTAGTGTATTTTACCTACCAGGACAAGCAGAGATATTGCTGGACAAAAAAGAGCCAAATAAAAATGCTAATTTCTCATGGAAGAAAAACTGAATGAAATCAGTGCTAGTCTTGAACATTCATCTAAGAAATCCGAAAGATGTGTGGAACAGGAAACCAGGATTTAAAGTTTCATGCTGGGTGTGTTTCTGAAAAGAACCTTCAACATCTGAATGCGAAAATTTTATGGAGGTGCAAGGAATGTGTGCATAACAACATGGATCATTTCTGGCATCTGCTATGATCTGTGAGGGCTTTCTTTGTGACTTGTTGGCACAAAGGCTTGTCAATTCTGCTGTGGGTCTAAAGGTATGTAAAATGACTTGCTGCGAGAAGCATGTCTCATTTCTGCTAACTACGCAAGTGATTTGTAGCAGTCTCTCAAATAAACTTCCCTGCACTCACTTATTGTACTGGTGTCCTATATGTATTTATAGACTAGGAAAGTCCAGTTCTGTTCCATTCAAGCAATCCAAAGAAACTGAATTAATGAATTATAGGACAATTAAGTCAGAAGTTATATTTAGAAGCTAATAAAATAATGACATTCATGTCCGCTGCAAGATCAGAACCAGCAATGACAGGAATCAATTCACATTGTGGTTTGTGTTATGGTACTGTGCAGTCTGGTAGGTGGATATCAATGTTTCACAGGGACCTAGTGCACCTATCTTCAAGGTAGAAGACAAGATGGTAACCAGTTACTAGGCTACATGATATAATTTCCCAGAAGACAACAATATGAATCTTCACTGCCATGAAATATTCAAGTCTCACATAAGGACACAGTCACTTTTTTTTTTTTGGTTTACTTGGAAAGTAAACGTAGCTATAATTATCAATAAAATTGACCATTCAACCGCTAATTAAGCATTTTCTCTTTGATATATGAAACTAAACATTCAGGTAACTTTCTTAAATTAAAAAAAATGAACTTAATAATGTGGCAAGAAATTTTAAAGCCATGTAAAAATAGATCTCGGTTTCCCTCAAATGTTACAGCTGTTTCAGTAACAGAAATAATTTTGGAAGCATAACTAAAGTGAACAGAAATCATATGCTACAGTCTAGGATAGAAACATATTTTCAATTTTGAGGTAAATGCAGTATGCCTAAACATGGTATTTGTGGTGAATATATGTAATATATGATTAGACATTCTCTTGATTAGTGTATGAGCTTCTGAATATATGAAACACATCTTCTTAGGCACATCTATCACACTATAATCCAACCCTGAAATAGGCAATAGAACTTAGCCAAGCTATCAGTACAAATTCTGAACCAAAAACTACCCAAAGGAGTAACATTTATGTCGACTAATGAAACACAGGGAATTCACTTGCTCGTGTGGGTAAAGAGCTGAGAGCAAATCTATGATAAAGCTGTTATACTCAAGCTATGGAAAGAAATCCCATGGACTGATAACCTCCGCATCTTCAAAGAGTTATCTCCCTTCAGCACACTTAATACAAGAGGAGGCAGAAAGGAGGAAGCTTGAAGCATCATTCCCACCATCCATGGGACTTCTTCCCATGGCCTCAGCATGGCAACAGGAATCCTGCGGCAAATGAAGTGCTTATATTTACTGCAAGAAAATAGATATAAGCTATTTCATATTTATATAATTAACCTCTGTAGAACTTCTTTAGTGTCATATTTTATGGCCTTGGACTCAAATTCAATTGCCCAAAAGGATAAAACTAACTGAAAAAGGGTCAAGTGAAACTCATGGAGTAACTCTTCAGCTGTTCATTGTATGCACAAGATAGGCTCATTAATAAATTCTGGATCATACTTGGTCTTCGTACTGTTACACTACTCAAATTTTTCACATGGTAACAGTTTTAAACACAAGAATTGTGTCAGGTATGTATAAATCCTATATGAATAATGATACACATGAAATGCAAGTCTAATTATATTGATGTAACTTGTAAAAATTTGCTCCTTTTGTGATTCCTAGACATCAACATTCATTTTTTGGAAACAGTGTAACTTTTAGGATTTTTTTATATATATAATACTAATTACACATATGAGAAGCTAGGGCATTATTTTACTCTGCCATCAGTTGTAGAAAAGGAGTAATACTTTACTTTAACATTGAACTATGTAAGAAAACGTGGTTTATGAGCCTTGATCTTATAAATAGCTTTTGTTTGCAAAATTAAAATTTTGAGCACCCTGGTTCATGTCAGATAACATGACTTTTAGATTTTATTCGTTTATGCTGGAGTCAAACATCACTACTTCCAACATTACAGACTTACTTCAGGCATAGAATATTATGTATGCAAATTACTGGTATGTACTTGCAATGTAAGACAACCATCCAGTTATAAAATATGAAACAGTTCTTCTGAGATGTGTAGTATATATGTGTTACATTCTACAGATGCCTTTATTTTTGAATCAGCTGAAACTCTCTGCCAGCAATTCTACATGAAAATTAAATGCATTTTATTATAGTAACTGTACTCTCTAATGCCATTACTATGGTATTCTACAGTTTAGTGTTCTGGAATGAAAAAGCAAATGACAAAGCAACTGAGACAGCATACCTCTAAATGGAATACAAAATATTTTCTAAGTCTAAATCATAACACACAACACAATGAAGGAATTCTTTTTTCTTTCAGTTTGCCTTTTGGAACTACCTTTGAACAAACTGTATGCTTGTGACCAGAAAATTCATCTCTGCCTCAGCATACCCAAGCAAACGGAAGGACTATTTACCATCCATATGGATGCATAATTGGAGTATTTTAAACTCACTTTTCCTAGCTGGTAGAGTTACCATGATACAAAGAACGGTTTAAAGCTTCCATCCTCAGATTCTCAGTCTCTTCTGCTGACAGTGGGTTGATCGAAAAGAAGGCATAGAGTCCAACTGCTGCTGTTATGATTACTGCCAGGCATGTATTCAGAATACATTTCTCACGTGGTGTTTGCTCCAATGTGTTGACCTGGGAAATATAAGCAATATATCAGATTGGTATTCCAAATGATAGGTTCATCAGTCAACTAAGATTAACCTCGTGAAGTCACTGCTTTATAAATGTGCCACAACCATTTTCAGAAGCCAACAACTTGAGGATCATAATAACTGATGCTGGATCTGAGATTCTCACAGCAGTGGCTAGGAAAATCCTATCTACTGAGACACAACAAAGTCAATTGATGTTCCTTTATTCCACTGTAAAATTCCGTCAATCCAAATGTCAACTGACTTTTGCCAGATTACACAGTACTATACTGCAGAAATTAGAATTATTCATATTAGATGGTTTTATATATAAATATATATATATATAAACTTGTTTTCACATCTGGGGTACAAATACCATATCACAAATCACACAAATCATTTAAGTGTGGTTACTTTGGCTGAGTACTGACATATGTGGTTACCAATAATATTCAGTACACTGCATCATTTACAGTGCCACAGCCACTTTAGTCATACCTGGTCATTATAACTATCCAAATATTCCTTTCATAGTATTTTGCTAATAAGACCTGAATAATCCACACGTTACACAAACATGTTTAAAAAGGTACTTGTTTATATGGAAGACATTAAGGAAATAAGCACTATGGTGAAAGTTCTGAGCCTGGGGGGGGGGGCTTTCTGCCGTCAGTAGGCCAAATGATGGCATATATAATTATCATGGGATATCACTGCTATCAACTTCATACAGAATTTTATCCAATATTCTTCTCTCAAGGTTAAGTCATATATATATATATGAAATTATTGGGGATCATTAGTGCAGGTATAGACATAACAGGTGAACTACTGATCATAAAAAATGGGGGTACAATGAGAGAGTACATCAGCTATTGGTAGACTTCAAGAAAGTCTATGATTCGGTTAGGAAGGAAGTATTGTACAATATTCTAATAGAGTTAGGCTGATTCAAATATGTTTATTTATCCAAAATTGTCTAAAATAAGAAGAATCTGCTGGTATATGCTGATGATGTGAATCTACTTGGAGGTAACATAGAGATCATAAAGAAAAGCACAGAAACTTTAACTGATGCTAGTAAGGGAATTGGTATATTCAATTATTTATTCTGGGGCTTTCTTAAAGACATGGTTCACAAAAAGCAATACACACACACATGAAGAACTGAGAAAAGAAACTCTGGAAGCAGTGAGCAGTGTCAGTGGGGGGGGGGGGAACTCTCTGGCTGCAATTGGGTGAAATTTCTGTTCTCAGTTGCAGTTTGTCATGAACTATGATGTCGCATATACTGAGAATGTGTTTGCACTGAGTGTCAATTTCCTAAGGCTAATGAACTCAGGGACACCAAGTACAGTGATATTTGCTATGTAGTCAGGTTATCATATGCAATTAAAACTGGAACATCTTTTGAGGAAGACCCTGCAAAATGAAAGAGGAAAAACACTAAATAAGAAGGTGATTTCAGGGTTGTCTATAATTTTCTATACAAATTTGTCATTTAATTTTACAGTTCTGACACAAGTCGCTCTCAACTTTGCATATAGTGACACTAGCTATCAACAAAGCAACCTGCCTCTGGTGTGTTTAAGGTTGGCATTGACGATGAGGTGATGTGATGTATAAATGTGCAGGCGGGGGTCAAAATTCCTAAACTGATCCCAGGTCCCCCAAAACACTGCTACACTAGTGGAAAATGAATGATTCTGTCTCTAGATTCTGGCAGCAAGTTTATTATTTCACTATGTGTGTCTGCTGATAGCTATTGTCCAACATATCAAACAAAAACACAAATTCAGTGCCTAGAAATTTTTGACTGTATGATTGGCTAGGGGGACGGGGGCTACCAATATCATATTCTAAAATTTAATTTTAAATTAAATTCTTTTTGTTTTAATAAAATGTGAACTGTTAATTAATCTACTGCATTTGCTAGTTACTATCATTCCAGTAGGTTTGATATGAGTCAGAAAGGGGCTAAGATGAAACCAAGGAAGTGAGAGAAAGGGAGAGTTACCATCCAGCGCTTTCTCTTTAGCCCATCACTCACAAAGATTTGTATATCATAGCAAATAACGTAAAATTAGTGTGGTTTCTAAACCCATAAATATATTTTTAGTTATCATCTCCAATGAGTTCAAAATATTTAAGTACAACAAAATGCACATGTATAAAAATTATGAACAAAATAATTAATATAATACCATTATATCTATTAACAAAACCACACATGAAAGAACACTAACTTATGTTGACTATAATTTAAAACAAAATGTGTCACTGTCTCACATAAATTGGTTATATACACATAAAACATTAATACCACACCGCATGGCAGATCAATATTAGTGAAGCTCCAGTTAACAGAAAAATAACAAATTAATGAAAATGTCATTATAAATGGGCAAATATTTTATGAACCATGCTTCCTGCACTAACAATTTGAAATGAGAGATGATGAAATAAATAAGATAGTGAACACAGAAACTCTCAACTGACTTCCTCTGTTCTACATGTGGTCATAAAATTCCTCACAATCCTATCATTTTCAACTGCTTTTTCTTCCAAAAATATGCCTGACATTTATTTTAAACACATGACAATTAAAAACTGACTGGTAACCTCTGAACAACAACGAGAACTGATAAAAAGACTTTGGGAAGGTACTGTGTGCAGGGGCGATAAGCACCTTATATGCAATGATGGGGGACTCCAATACTCATTACAGTAGAAAGGTAAGAAGCAGATTTTAATGCTTCAAGCCTGCTGGATGAAATTGAATGTAAGGCCATTCACTGTGTTCTATGAAGTTATGGGAATGCTTTGGGAAAATCTTACTTCTGGGTAGGGTCCAATTCAACTGCTATTATCACTGAGTTATATAATACTGTATTTAGAACTCTAAGTCACATATCAGTAGCATATTTTGCAAAAAATGTCTTCCCTAGAAGGAGAGTTTTAATGCATTTATATTGGCTGATGATGGGAATTAATGGGTAACAAAAATATTTCAGAGTTTCCTACTGTCATACTTAACTGCAATAAGAAATTCAAAATTTTGTTTAGAAGCAAGCTAAAAGTTGGTCATAAATAGCTTAAAACACATCTCTTAAAAATGAAAAAAATATAATAAAGTCAGAAGAAGAGTAAACACCCTCTTGTGTATGGGGACAAGGTCTGAGACAATGACCCTACATAAAGAGGGTTCATTATTTTGTTTGTGGTCTTATCATCATCTATTCACACAGCAGGATGCTAGTTAGTGAGTGGCTTCTTTCCAGTAACAAGCTACCATACATGTTTGATTGGAGGTCTTGTCCATGTTCTATAAATCATGGTCAACACTGTCACCTGCAAGGGTTGAGCTTGTTAACTGGTTCCACCCTAAAACATGAATCATTTTTCAGGATTATGAGTAATAATTTTTTGCTTGAGCAGGTTACCAGCCTTTTGCAAAACCTCAGATCTTGGAGGACTATAGTTTTTATTTGGGGTTTCCTTCCCTTAGACAGGTTGCCTACCACGGCTAATGAGTCCTGTCTACCTGCCACATAGCCCTGGGAATCGGTCCTTTATCAGATGCTGCCCACCTATAAATATATTCAGTAAAGTCACTTTACTTATTTGCTATTGCAATAGCTACTGAAATGGTTCTGACATCCAAACACATTCTCACACATGCAGAGCCAGTAAATGTAACTGTGAGACATGCCATAACATAAGTGGACACCTGCAATGATATGAACTGCAGAGTTCATGTCTGTGAATCACTGTATATTTGTTCTTATAACTTGTCACCTGTCAGCATTCTTTGCATTTGTGGTGTCCAACCATTTGCGTAACAAAAGTGCATGATTACTGCAAATAAGTTATGAGTATTTTGAGTGGACAATGCACCAGCAAATATCACAGAAAATTCAATAAATGCAATACTGTATCTAGAGGATGCTTTCAATGAAGCAATGACCAGCATAGGACTATGACTATTATGATCCTTGGATCTGTGTGTGATTTTATCTTTGGTGAAACTTGAAACAGAGAGTCTATAGAAATGATCCACACTTTACAGATTAAATTCAGAGTGTCATTCTAGGAATCACGGAACGTGATCTCCAATGTGCTGCAGAATTTTGTACACCAATCTGGTCAGATGCTGGAAGGCATCATGTTCACCAGTCATTATAATATATTGCAGCATGTAGAGATCTGCTGCTAGGCAAGAACCACAAAACAAACAATGAAACAATGCTTGCTGATAAGCAACAGATTCTTAAGTAACAAGAGTTGAGCAGAAACAATTGAACCACAACAGAGGAACGGTGTTTACTATGCAGTCTGTGCTGAGATGTTACAAGCAGCACAACTGGAGCAATGAGTCAGTTGTGAGTGGTATTAGCTAGTGGGCAACGACGTGAGCACAGAAGCTGAAGAATCTCCATTGTTAAGATCCATTACCAGGAAACAACTAGTGAAAGCAGACTGAGTAGACTTAGCTTGTGCACTAGTGATATGTATAGTGTGGACATTAGCAATGGTGCTATAATTACTTGTAATAACGAGTTGCATTTATAAGTGTTCAATACATCCAGTCACCAATCCAAACCCACATCTACAGTCACTCATACACATGACAATATATAGTTTATCATAAAGAACCTACTCACTAACTGGTATCCTGCTCTAAGAACTCTTGGTAACAAGGCTGAAAATGAAGAATGAACTTCTGTATGCTCATCCCAGGCAGGGTTATGTTTCTTGTTAAGTTTATGATGGCAGAAAGCAACGAAATTTTCTTGTCCAATGTTCTCCCTGCATTTTAAAGGATATTTATTATTTACTATGTAGTAATTCTGAAGAACAAATCATTTTGGTATCAGATATTTATATTTTTATGAACTTATGAGTATTTACATACATTCTTTTGTCACACACATATTAATTAAGGAATGGTTTCATATGTTCTATTGGAATATAACCTGTAATATATATGTATTTTCTCTCTTCTGGTAATTTAACAACTAAACCTCTGTACCATGTTCTAGTATATATGGAATATCTCACATTTATACTCCAAATATCCACACATGCACACACATATTTACTTACATTTAAGTTTATGTCAATATTAAGTGCTGGTAAGGATCCAATGAATCATTATCTCAGAGCTTGCTGTTTCTTTCAGCTTTAAGCTTCTGCTGTAGAAACTGTAAGCATGATATTAGGGCTGCTTCACATTTTGTAGGAAATTATTCATTCCCATCTATCACCTCCCTGATTGGGGTTTGCATGTGTTTTCATTTACCATACTGATACTGGGACTGTCAATGATATATCAATTAGTGTTTCCTGGCCCCCTTATATAGAATCTGACTGTACCTAAAGGACAGTTCTACTGCCAATCAAACATTCTTTCCTCTTAGTCTTTTGAGGAAAATTCTGGGAATTAACCTTTATAGCCAAGGAACAGGAAATTCAATCCCTTAGTGTTAGGGACACTAGTGGTTAGAATTTAATTTGGGTTTATGATATTCATATAGAAAAATGTGACATTATAGTTTAGGGCTGCCAGACTGTACGCATGCACTGTTACAATAGTGTGACACACATCTGATAAAGGTTCAAAGAATGTAACAATTTTCTGCCCAATGTAACCACTTCACAATTCATATTATCTCATTATTTTTTTCCATAAGCCTCACAGCAAAGTAGTATGACATCAAATATCAGAAACAGAGAAACATCTATTCATGTAATGGATAAACAAATTATGTGCATATCAAATGATGTTACTTATATTTTATGTTTATTCATCAAACATTTGGTGTTTATCATGCAAAAAAATAAATTAAATTCTTCCTTTATTACTTTCTATATGACTAAGATAATGGCATGCTGCAAGTAAAAATCTGAAGGAATGAGCCAAAAATAGCATAACTGAATTAAAGAACATGTTCAGCAAACGTGGAACACTGCAGTTGTTTAAAAATGGATTTCCAACTGGGCAAAAGTTGGGATGGGACTTCTACCCAATGGATTAGACACATCCTCTTACAGCAGTTTTCGTATTTGTTAAACATATTCTAAACCTCAGCCTCTTCCATCCTGTATAAATGTGTAGAAAGATAACAGAAGAAAATAAGCAGATAAGTAGCATATCACATTCAAGGGTGCTGTGTGCCTCACCTTCTTTAACCTTAATTGGTCTTCAGCTTCTCTTGCGAGTCTCTGTTCCCTCTCAGGGTCTCTTTCCTTGAATGACATTGACAAATGTATTTCATGCATTACTTCACGTGTGCCCATTATCCATTATTCCCCTTCTTACCAACATGCTACTACATTAGCCTTTAACATCAGAGTAAACATCAGTTTACTGATTTCACACATACATCTTTGTAGGAATATTTAAATGACTCTGTTGATTTTATGTTCAATATCTGTGATTTCTGACATCCAAATCTCAAATACTTTACTTCCCTCAGTCATTTTTATCACTTACTATTTTGTTAATTTTAAATAATGCAGCACTGCTGACAACTCACAAAGCCAGGAGGTCAAAATTAAAATGCAAAATAATAAGACTAACTGCAGTACCTCTGCTTACAAAATTTTAGATTGGTTTCTCAAAGAAAAGATGTACACAGACAAGTAATGTCTCACGTGTGATAATATCTGTATTCAGAGCAGAATACGAGGTGATTCCAATTCACTACTGATGACACTAAGCAAGTGAAATTTTTGTACACAGCTACTGCACATGAGCAGAGCATGCATCACAATTTTCAATGAAGAAAAAGGCATTTAGATTACTCTTCACATATATAACCCTTTACAGTTAGTTTCTGGATGTTAATGAGACAACCTAAAAAGTCTGAGTGCAGAACTGAATAGAGTCTATAGTAATATTTACTCCTCATTATATTAAACATTTCTACTTTTCTATACTTTTCATATGCAATTTAATAAAAAATATCTATTTACAACCTCTTTATATGAACACTACTGAAATTTGTGAACTACCTTTGATTCTAAATTTGAATTTTCAACAAGATATCCATTATATACTTTTCAACATATGGCTTTTATATCTGATATAAGGTATCCTCAGATGTTTACAATAATATAACATCAGACCTGTATGATGCACATACCACCACATTTCACAGTGAAGTTAAATACGCAAATTTATAGTCAGAAATTACAATAAAAATTAATTATGTTTTAAGGACAGGGTAGAAAAATCAAAAGTAAAAATAAATACGATTTATAGAGGTGAACTCATGATGTCTCCTTGAATACACATACATAGGCAACACACCAACAACTGGTGTTAGAAGTGGGATCAAATTTAGAAGAATTATTGGACTAACACCACACAAACAAAAATGGAGTGACAGCAGATGATGGAATTCCTGCTGAAAGAATTGAAAGCCGATATGAAGGCCATGCAAGAAAAGGGGGAAGCAAATACAGAAGCCACCCAAGAAGTTTGCTGGCCAAAATGGAGGCTGACCAAGAAGAGTGGAAAGCCTGGCGAGAAGAGATGGCTTACATGTGAGAAAGGATGGACACCAGCAACAAGGAGATGGTGACTGAAATCTAAACCAAATGAGACAAAGAGATGATGGACTGCCGAGACACTACAGAGGCACATCTGGAAAAAAGAGCCAACCTCAGTGGACAGGAAACCTGAAGTGGCACAACAAAGAGATGTCCCTAGAGAAGATGCCAAAATAATACCGGTCAGAGGACCGATGAAGAAGAGTAGGTGCCGAAACCATTGAAATCCAAAGGAACAGGCCCAGAATCAGGATGGGTGCCGAAAACAACTGGTCATCGCCTGAAGGATGAGCTGCCATGCGAAAGTGGCATGGCAGATAAAGCAAAACGACAGGAAGGGGTCCCATCATGCAGCAGTGGCACGATGAGGGACAGACATCTTCTGGGAAAGACTGGCAGTTGCCCAAAGAGGGACAGCCCACTTTGTGAAAGTGGCACAGTGCAAGGAAAACTCCATCAGAAGGAATCACACCAGGTACAAAGTGGCATTAGGAACCTCAAAAGTATGGATGCTTGTTGAAGAGACAACGGGCACAACAGCAATGTAACAGAGGAACAAGGATCAAGACCTACAGAAAGACAACTGGACATGAGACCATGAAGCGATTTACCGAATCTCCTATCTCATCAAAAAACATCAAGAACTGGATCTTGTGGAGGAGTCGACCCCCTCCAAAACAAAAGAAAAATGTTTAAATAGTGCATAGAGGAGGAACCGGTAATGTAGAAGTACCGGCCTCCCTGGCATGAATGGAAAGAAATGGAATGAAAGTGAAAGATGACGAGAACATAGAGTGACTGGAAGTACCACACAGCTATTCGGGATGAGCACCCTTGAAGAAGGGGGCAGATGAAAGGAAGGGAAGTACCATTAGGCTGTTCGGGATGAACAACCTTTAGAAGGGGGCAATGTGGCATTCCAGGAATCTGGAATGTATACTTCCATGGATACACAATACCAGCGGGCTGTTGCCTAGGAATACCTTAAGCAACAAATGCATTTTCCCAGAGATGAAAGGACAACAAAAGGTTCATTGCATAACAGAGGCCGAGACCAAAGGCTCCTACATGGTGTGCTCTATTCCGCCCGAGATGAGGTTAGAAGAGTCCAACTGTGACAAGAGACGAGTTTACTCCCGTGTGGAGGTGGGGTAGAACACCCCCACCATAGCCCTGCGAGTCACAGGAGGCGACAAAAAGGGAAATCTTGAATCTGAGACAGTAAAATATGGTTGTGAGTCCCAAGGGACTCGGACCCGGGAAAGACTGTGCTGGCAATGGCCAGCAGCATATACAAAAGACAGACCCGTCCTCTTGTCAGAGAAAGCACCCAGAATCAACAAACCTGCAACTGTCTGACAGTAATAAAGATCTGGTCACGAGCCCCAGATGGGTGCTTTATGCCAAAACAGACTGGCCAACTGACCATCGGTCATAAAATGAGACTCAGACTCAGACAAGTTCAGTTTGCATTTGAACTTAGTAGAGCAGTCAGTCTTCAGTTTGGCAGTACTTCTGATTGTGAATAATTGTACTTGTAAGTGTGGAGGAGATTGGCCAATAAACATATTTGTCAAATCCGAGACCTGCATGAATTTATTTGTTATGTTACATAGGCAACACGCAATAATATATATCAGCTTTCCATACCATGTACGTCAAACTGACATACTGACACTACCTCAACTATCTGAAAGAAAGCGCTATTTGTGATGACTTTCTCTTCTTCAGAAATCTAGATGCAAGACAACTGATGCTGATGCTGGAAAAATTTAGTTCTGCCAGAATTCATATTCTTCATGATATCCAAAATTATATATAAGTATTATTAACGTTCAAAACAATAGAATATAACAACAAATTGACTACAATCACCCATAAAACTATTCCACAGGAGAAACCATTTCAAGACTTTATATTCGCAAATCTTAGGATCACTGAACCACGAACATAATATTGTGAAATGTAAATCCACTGCTAGGCAATACCTGGAACACACACACGGCCAACAATACAGTAGCAGTGTTTTCTTTGTGTCCGCACAGCTTGAGCAATCCTGGTGACGTCACACAACAGCAGTGTGTAGCGATCACATGACATGTGGCTCCTATAGGTCCATGCTGAGGAGTTACCTCGAAGACAATTGGAGCTACAAAGCAGTTGAGAGTACAAGGTCAGAAGAGTCCAACAGAGTATGAGGATGAGAATGGAGCATGCCCTTGTGATTTGTGAAGTAGGTAGGTCAGTGATAGCACTAAAATTGACTGTAATTGTGAAGAAATGTTCAATTAACCCAATCATAAAATCTATAATCCACAATTATTAGTCACGCAACCCCTTATACATGACAAATTGGTGCCAGAAGTGGGATTTTATCAATTGGACAGAATTACTGGACTTAAAACAAAAGTCGTGAGAGACAAACAACGGAAGCCAATATGTATGCCTGGTGGGAAAAGACGATGGCTTGCCAAGAAGGAATGGAGGCCAATCCAGAAAATATGGAGCAAAATCCAGAAATGATGCAGTCTGTAGTGGTGCATGAGGAGGTCCCTTAGGAACAGGCCACAGTGAAAACTTCTCGAGCAATGAAGAAGTGGCATAGGGACCAGAATCTAGCTTAGCTGCAGGGGGCTGCAGGAAGCCAAAGTAACTGACCCAAGGAGATTGTGGATCCTGGATAAAGTTAGCTGCCGCCTGCAGGAAGGTGTCCCACCGTACAAGAGAGGAACACTGTCATGAATAAGTGAATCAGGGACACAGTTGAAAGAGGAACCCAGAGAGTAGGAGTACTCAGGAAGAAATTATGGCGTGCCATGGAGGAAGAAGGGTAAGGGAGGGCATAGGCGGCAGATGATTGTTATTTCTCAGGAAGGAGTGCACAACTGTGATTGGTATCAAAGGGTGGAATTCAGGACGGCAATCATGTCTGGAAAATGGAGAAACATTCTACACAGCCCTCAAGTAGAGCATATATGAGATCAACAGTATGAAGATCACGAAGGCCAGATCTTAAGCTATGTCATAGAAAATCAGGGATTGGGCACTGTGGAGGAGTAAGCTCCTTCTGAAATGGAAGAAGAGCCAGAAATGTGGAAGCACCAGCTACTCTAGGTAATTTTGCTTCCACCATCTAGAAAAAGGAAGAAAAACTTTGAATGGGGGTAATATGCCTGGATCTACTGGCACCTTAGCAGTGAGCCATCTTAAAGAGGGAGCAGTGGTAGCACTCAGAGAATGAACACCATTAAAAAAAGACAATCATGGAAAGTACGATGAAACCAACTGCAGACATTGAAAGCACAGTTCCCAGAAAGGAAGACGGGCTCTGGGGCTCACCCAGCCTCCTATAAAATGGGAATTTGGGACTCTTTCCCCTGGGGTAAAGCGGCAGGGGCATGAAGCTGACCACTCACCTCCAGCTAGTGCCAAGGTCAAGAAAATGTGGATCTATGCAGCCACTTCCACATACACCTTCATGGAGTATTGCTTAGTTACTTAAGCACAGGGATAACTTTAACTTTTTACATTTTTGAAGACTTTATGTGTGCTGTAGTAAAGTGATATTGGGAGTGTGTGATATAGTGAGACTTTTATAGTTCCTGTGTTATAAATCTGTTGCCAGGAAACGGATAATGAAGACTAGGGGTAATGGACTGAGAAGAGTAGTGTGGAGTGATTGTAGATTGTGCAGACCAGTAATGGTGTTATAATTATTTGTAGCTGAGACCTGGAAGCGGTCAATAAATCCAATTACCAATTTGAACCCCATCTAAAGTCACTAATACACATGACAATATACTTAAGTGATGTGTTAGAAGCATTAAGACTTCTGAATAATAGTTATTGGTAATAATATAATCCAAGAGGGGAAACCAAAGTACTCAGAGAAAACCTGCCCCAGCACCACTTTGTGCACTAATGGAATCTTAAGGCATATCCTCATGTTTGGGCAGCACATTCAACATAGAAAAGTGTGGGAAAATATAATGAAAGCCTATGAGGATAGGAGTCTGACAAATGGGCTCAGTTTTCTGAGAGGTCTCTCTGTAATTAACTATTACAGGAACATGGCAGAGTATGTAACTAAAATTATGTCAACAGCACAGAAGCTCACAGGCATCAGGTCTCTAGTGGATGACAAGTTTGTCAGTGTCATTATGCTGCGTGGACTTCCACAAGAGTACAATCTCACAATATTCGGACCTAAAAAGTCTGGACTGAACATAATAAGTGATTATATCAAGTCAAAAATAAACCAGGAAGATCTTAAGTCTAAAACTGAGGTAAGATCTTCATTGTGACAGCACTTGTACATAATGCAAATGGGAAGAAAGCAGGACATTTCAACAAGACTTTCCAGTGCTGAAACTGTAACAAGCCAGGGCTCAAGAAGTCTGAGTTTGCCCAAGCAAATATGAAACCAAGACATCTGGTTCTAAGAGGGGCGAGCTGACTGTGTGAACCGCATTTTTAGCAAATACAACTTTAAGTGGGTATTTACTGACTCAGATACCACAGTCTATATGAAATGAGGAAAGCCTGGCTGCAGAATTTTGATGAGTCAAGAAAATAAATAATGACAGTTTAAATAAAGAAAAGCAATATACTGAAGGCAAGTCTGAAGCGTTGTTCAAGTAAATCCATAAAAGCACCAGAACAATCAAAGATGTCATGTATGTTCCTCATATTTCCACCGACTTTTTTCAGATTGCAAGATGGTGTAACAAGGCCTGATTTTATTTTTTTCAGAAAGAGACTGTGAAGTTTACCATGAAAGTGATTATAAAATTCAGGGTAAAATCAGAGTACTGCATCAAATATGAGAGATACCTATAGACCTGATGAAGAACCAGATAATGCTGATGTTGTGACAAATATGACATCACATGAAAATTGTTGCAGAAGTCTTGGATACTAGAACAGTAGGGGAAAGCTATAAAAATGTATCACAACAGAGTCTTTTTACCACAGATTCCTAGCATAGGAGAGCAGAGCAGAAAACCCTCCAAGAAAATGAACTCCAGAAGTCTCAGGATGGAGCATATCACTTTTCCACACTGACTGTCTAGTTTAATTTAGTTTAGTAATACTTTAAACAATTTATTCTAAAAATTATATGAAAATTCAGTGTTCCTCACAGGAAACAAATTACACCTCTGTGACAAAGATCAGCTAGTTATTAAGGTTCAAGGAAATAAACGCTGTTTATTGTGAGAAGCATACAAAACACACAAAAGCACTCTGTGCTTAGAAGGCAGTTTTACTGCGTTAAATCAGGTGGTAAATATACAACCATAGGGCTCTAAAGGGTAAGTTTTGTGTCATACAGCAGCCAGGTTCACAGTGAGTAACGATTTTACTAAGATTTTTTAATATTGTCTGTGACTCAAAGACGAAAATAAATCAAAGTTTTAAGAATATAAGATGCCTTATGGAGAATCATATAGGAAAAAGATAAAGATTCTGAGAACAGATAATGGTGAAGATTATAACACATATATTATATGTGTTTCATAATTATTTGAAGGCAAATGGCATCACATGCCAGACTATGGTGCCATACACTCTACAAAAGAATGCAGTTGACAAATGAGTTAACAGGAACATCACTGAAAAATCTTGGAGCAAGATGAAGGCTGTGGAATGTACTGGGCCAAGGCAGTACCATGGCAATCCATCTGAAGAACTCCTTACCAACAAATGCAGTGAAAGATGTCACTCCAGAAATGATGTGGACAGGGGAAAAGGAAGATTTGTAATATATGAACGCTTTTGTGTATGCTATCAGTAACTCTGCAAGAAATGGGATTCAGAAAGCAAAACGCGTGCATTTGCGGGATATTGTGAAGAGATAAAGGGTTATCATCTCAGTGATCCTTATATTCCTACAAAAATAACTAAGGTTTTAGATGGGGTATTCACTGAATGAAAATAAAAATGAACAGACTGAACAAGTGTTGGAACAGAATGTCCAGGTCGAAATAGAACCAGTTCTGGTGCATGAAAGGGGCAAAGAAGAAACTACAATTTCTTTATTAAAACCATCACAACACAACTATATTGTAACATATTTGGAGTAGGTACTTCCATGGTAACGCAATAACAGTGAGCCATTGCATATACAATGCTGAAACAACGAACAAATCTCCCAGAGATGAACAACCGAAGACTCATTGCGTAACAATGGACCATATAAATAGTAGTAATGGAACCATGAGGAATGATGTCTGGTATCCGGTCTGCATAACCCCTATATAAGCAGATCTTACGACACATACAGATTATTGAGAATGAGACAATCTTGGGATAGCTGCAGCCAGAGACAGTTGAGATCCAGCCATGGCCAAGAGACAGTTGAGAGGTCACATTGAGTATTGGGCCAGAAGTCAAGTGATAATAATTGTAAGGTGTGTAAGCGTGAGAGCCCAATAAAGATTTGCTGAATCCGAGACCCAGGTGAAGTTATTTGTCACGTGACATACCCAACATGTGACAATATCAAGGAAATGAGTTTTGATATAGTTGTGTTGTGACAGTTTTAATAAAGAAATTGTATATTATAACACAACAGGATGCATGAAATGAAAAGTAGAAATTCTTGCTGAGACATAGGGAAATTATAAGAAGAAGAAGCAGGACAATAAGGAAGATGAGAACAGAAGGCTGAAGATGAGATTGATGTTGATCCAGTATTTATTGAAGAGCAATGAAATCAGTAGAGACAGTGACAACCAAGTGAGTATTAGGATGGATGAAGTATTTTTGAAAGAAGCTAAAACTACATGGAAATCTGGTATGAATGAAAACAAGTTCTCTGAAAGTGATGTATAGAAATTAGTGGATTTACCACAGAGTAATTTTATTTGTCTCATTCTGGTCCGTCGCATTATCGATTACAAAGCGGATAATTTTCAGTCCAGTGTGACATACGAGTTTACAACACAGCACGCATGTAAACTACACGACTAACAATAAGAACACACAATCAAGAGAAATAAACGACATTTTCCACCATCAGGAAGAAAACAACATGACCCAATGTTGGCTCATGATATTTTAATATAATAACTAATTTTTGCATACAAAAGAAATTTTAATACAATTTTAAATATATAGGGAAGCTACCGTATGGAAAAGTGAACATCATATTGCGTGCAGTGGGAAATCCCAATCAGAATACCCAGCAAATACGCTTAAAAGAAACAGCATCATACATAAATCTACACTTCAAAAAGTGTCGTCGTGAACGCTTAAGGCAAGCATCAAAACTAACTGTGATATTAACAAAAATTTATATAGTGAGCATTATTCATAGCTTAAGTGCATATTGTTAAAACATCTTATGTGCCAGTGTTTCCTGATCGTAGTGGTGCGTCTCTGAGGATGATTCTTTTGAATCGAAACATGTAAGGTGAAGTGTTGTAAACTTGTATGTAACACTGGACTGAAAATTATCCACTTTGTACCACAGAGTAGTTGAAAAACAAGTGTGTATTCAAGATAAAGCAAGCATAACTGGCAGGAAAAGGCCTGTGGCATGAACTATAATGAAACCTTTTCACCTATAGTAAGAAATTCATCCACAATATTTTCGCTGAATTTTTTTGCAGAACAAAGTCTGGACACAGATCATCAGGATAGCAGTGTCGTTTTTCTAAATGGGGATTTAGAAGAAGCGTGCATGCATGAACCCCCACAGTTTATCAAAGAATTAGAATAAAACAAAGCCAGTCTAATGCAGAAAGCAATCTACTGGCTCAAACAATCATCAAGAACATGAAACAAGACACTAGTAATACTCATCGGGGCTATACTTAAAGGGTCGCATAATGAACTATGTACCTATTACAAAGTTATAATAGTGCAATCACTGTTGCAATGTGCATGTGGATGATTTTCTCATTTTCTGCAATAAAAGGAAGAGATAGAAACTGATGACAAGATTCAGAAGTAAAGTGGTGCTTTGGCAAGATGCAAGAAAAATAACATGATTCAGGTGGACCAACACTAGTACATGGAAAAAATCCTATGATAATTTGACATGTCAACATTAAACCTGCAGTAACAATAGATTTAAATTCACTACCATAATTAAAATATTTCTTGTTACAAGTATTTTCTTTCCTATGAAAGTATGTCATACCATCAAGCTGAGATGATCACATTGCAATATGCACGCACACGCCAGTGTGCACACATACATACACATGCTTAAAATAATTTGGCTCTGAAAATTAAACATGATTATTGCAAAGGCCATATTTAAACATAAATTCTGTCACGTATACCAGTTGGCAAGGCAAGTAGTTTTTCATTTTTAAATCTACTTTATGGCAACTGATATCCTACTAATGAAAAAGCCGTTGACTCACCTGATCCAAACGATTTTGAGCATCCCTTGCAAGCCTCTGTTCCTTCTCTGGCTCAGTTTCAACACCACATACCCATCGGAAGAGTCGCAATAACAGACTTGGTTTCTCACAGTTTTTATCAGGAAGTTTATTAACATCACCATCTGAAATATATGCAGTTCTCATTCAGATGGATATTACTATGGGAATTTTCCAGACATAGGGTAAAACTGCTCCACAACTGACAAACAAGAACACTACTTCAGTTACTAATTTATTATTATTTTTTTTTAAATGCAAATGAAATATAGTCAAAGTGTCCAATGTGTTTCAATTACATGAAAATCTGCATATTTATCGTCCCATTTCAAAATTATAGTTGTTTAAAGACCCTCCTACAGACTCCACACCATACAGAATACATCCTCACCAGAGTAAGAGTTCAAATGTGCTATGAATCTGTTAACTGAAAAACCATCATACATGTGTGTAACAGGTCCTACATGAGCCTGTATCATAATGGTTAGTGATGTGTTTATTTTATTTCTAAGGAACGAACAAACAAGTCTGTTCCAGTATCTGGCATTAATCATCAGTACATTGTACATATCATAAACTTAAATTTAATCAAGGATTGGTAATATAATGTAGGTAAGAAAATAATACAATATCTTACAGACCCTGTAATTAAGGAGGAGTAAACAGACCAGACAGATGCAAGAGTGCATACATTTCCAGGTACCATTTTCTGCCACATGCATTTAGCACAATGCAGTATTTGGATGAACACTTAGCATGCCTCAACATAACTTTCTCCACTATAAATCACTAGTTACTTAATGTTCTCATTTGATTCTCCTGACAACATGTATTCTGTTTTCAGAGACCTGTGCTATAAAAGTTACCAATTTCATTTGCAATAGCCTTTCGTTGTGCAGTCATCATGAGCTCCAATTCTTCAGCCCTCATTGGTTGATCATCATCCTTTCGTTTACGCTGGTCAAAACGTGTGCGATATGTTGTTCGGATCAACTGAAAAACAACAGTACTTGAGGTTTCATAACAGAAGGCAAATGCAAGATCTTAGGAAGCAAGTCTTCATCATCCTTGTATAAAATATTCATGTAAATATTTCTAATGGCACACCAATAAATGATAAAAGTGTCATCGACCCACAGTTGTGAATTATCTCATGTTCTACCAACACATATACAGTATGTAATGCACTGTAACTATTGCAATATGAATGATACATATTATAGATATCTTATTTTTTATTATATTCAAATATGAAAACCAACTATTTCATTGACAATTTAAATGTGCAATGCAGCCTGCTTTTTGTTATGTACTGCATCTTCAGAATGCCGTATGCTTAAAGTTGACAATAAATTAAATGATCACATCCTGTAGGCTATGTAACTCCAATAAATACTTATGATGGTAAATGATTCACTGCAAAATACAAGTGTATTCTTCCAGCTTAACTCATATTAATGTTAATTCAAGTATAGGAGATCATGAAAGGTTTAAAGTGACTGGTGTAAAACTATCAGCAGAAAGAAAACATTACACATTTATAATACCTTCAAGGAGTTTTACAATTGTTTGAAAACATAAAAATGAATCATAACAAAATCTTTAAAATGTTCTTCAGAGGTATCGTGCACCACAATTACAAAAATCCATATCAGAACTTTATATTACACATCATTTTCTGGCAGGTGGATAATGGTAGAAATGCAAATGCTTTTTCTTTGAAACAGTCTCATTGTCAATCTGCACTTTGTTTGCAGCCTACATTAAAACATTTTTCTGTTGTGTTATTCTGTGATATTGTATCACCAACTAAGGTTATGTAGTGTTGAAAAATGCCTTAATATAGAACTGCAGAATTATTATTTGTGAATTTTATTATAACATCAGAACTGCTCTTATAAAAAAGGTGAACAGTATCGTTAAAAACAATTTTGATATGAAAAGTGTAACATTTCATTTCAATATATTTGATGAAATTTATAATCAAATATAAATGATAATATAAACTTATTAATATGACCACCAACCCTGCACTGTTATTGCCAATCATTTAGAATTAAAAGTGAAGCTTGGTGTGATCATTCAAATGACTGCAGAGAGAAATTCAAGTGCATGCTGGTTCTGTTGTGTTGATGTGTACAGTTCAAAAAAGTCTGTTCATATCTGTAAGTACCTCTGAAGAAACTTTCATAAACAGATGCCTTCTGCCGTAGATTATGATGCGTGCTGTCAGAATGATAATTGTAAATGTTCAGCACATCTCGCCTGAATTTTGACCCAAGTTCATAATTACCTTAACATCACTGTATTTGGAAATTACATTCAGCACCTTCACACGATGCTCTGAAAGGCTTGGGAAATATTTTGAACAATGTTCTCTCCTGATCACAGCCTATACAGACCACACATCCGTCCATGACTGACATCCGGGTTCGATCCTGGGTCTGGTCAAATGGGATTTGTGGTGGACAATGTGGAGCTGGGGCAGGTTTTCTCCGAGTACTTCAGCTTCCCCTGCCAATCTTCATTCCACCAATTGCGCCACAATCACCCTCACCTATCACCTTGGGCTGGTACAATAGGCCGGAAGTTGCAGCAGTACAAGGGACTTAGTCCCACCCGACTAGCAATAAAAAAAAAAGCAATGTGACCGACATACCAGCTACCATTTGTACTACAGTGATAAAATGTTAAATATGATGTGACTATGAAGATTAGTGCCTTCTGGGATGTGGTGCCATGCAGTCTGGTAGACTGTTACCAACATTTCAGAGGAATGTGCTGCTTCCATGGTTGTGATTTTATGTGAGTGGCCATGAGCTACAAACAATAGAAGTCTTTTTTACAAATCCATGGACGTTTACCTATACTGAAAATTATCCAATAAAACAATTTAATTATTGCCTCCTATGGACCCAAAGAAACGAATATTTGATGCAGGACACAGGAGGAACTTATAAGGCATCACTACAGCCACCACCAACTGAGCCAAAAATAATATACAGCAACATAATTGAGCGGTGCTACAAATTTACCTTGACATGATACATGAATTCAGCATAAGCAAAAATTTGCATTTAACATCAACTGTTAACATTTGCAATGTTCTACTTCCCACACACATAAACACATATCCAGTATGGATCCCCATAAGCTAATTAATTCTATTTCGAATAAGTTAAAATTGCCTACCAGTGGAAGGGGTCTGTAATTGTACCAGTTCACAAGAAAGCTAATTAAACGGACTATAGTAACCATTGTGGGATATCACTGCTATCAACTTAATACAAAATTTCATCCAATATTTTTCTCTCAAGGTTAAGTCCATACATAGACGAAATTGTTGGGGATAATCAGTGTGAATTTCCATGTAACAGATAAATTACTGATCAGATTCCTTGCATTCATCAGATAATGGAGGAAAGATTGGAGTACAGTGAGACAGTACATCAGCTATTTGTAGACTTCAAGAAAGCCTATGATTCAGTTAGGGGGGAAGTACTGTATAATATTCTGATAGAGTTTGGGGTACCCATGAAACTACTTAGGCTGATTGAACCATGCTTAAATGAAATGTATAGTAAAGTCTGTATAGGTAAACATTTGTCTGATAATTTTCCTATCCAGAATGGTCTAAAAAAAGGAGATGCTTTATTGCCACTGCTTTTCAACTTTGCTTTAGAATATGCCATTGGGAAGGTCCAGGAAAACCAGGTGGGACTGAAATTAAATGGGACACATCGGCAGTTGGTCTATGCTGATGATGTGAATCTACTGGGTGATAATATAGTGTGACATGTTGACCCCTACCTCCCCATCTGCACGTAGGGGTAACGTAGCGCTCGCGTAATAGGCGAATAATCACCCCGCATCCTGGTAGCTATGCAACGCGCAACGCGCAGTGACGTCACGAGCGGAGCCGACGTTAGCCGAGTCCCCGCGACCATGAAGCTATGCAAAGCGAATCAACAGCGGTGACGTCACCGAGGGATATCGCGGTTGCTAGGCAGCAGTCAACAACTCCGGACAGCGTGGCTAGCAACAAGGCACCAGACGACAATTGTCCGATCAAGGCTACATAAGGAGCAGCAAAGGCTATTCACAGTCAGTCAGCGAGTCCTGGAGCTACCTACGAGTCAGTCGTCGAGCTACCTCCGAGTTAGTTCCGAGTTAGCCAGTAACCAGTCAGTTGTATTCTGGCATTTGGAGTGTACTATTTGTGATACTGCAGATAGCAGTAATCGTGAATCTGTAATTTGGGTGATTGTAAGTGCGAATGTGAAATAAAATTCACTACATCAAATACATCGTGAAGTTATTTGTCGTGATATACGCCCGATACGCGACAATAGATATCATAAAGAAAAACACACAGACTTTAATTGATGCTAGTAAGGAGGTTGGTCTATAAGTAAACACAGAGAAAACTAATTATATATTGCTGTATTGTGACCAAAATGCAGGGCAATATCATAACATAAAGATAGTTAACAGATGTTTTGAAAGTTTGGCTGGGTTCAGATATTTGGGAATGACTATAAAAAATCAAAATCTGATCCAGGAGGAAATTAAGAGGAGACTGAACTTGGGTAATGCTTGCTACCATTCAGCCCAGAATCTTTTGTCTTCTTGTCTGCTGCCTAAAAACATAAAAATTAGAATTTACGAAACTATAATTTTGCCTATGGTTCTGTATGGGTGTGAAATTTGGTCTCTGACATTAAGGGAGGAACATAGACTGAGTGTGTTTGGGAACAGGATGTGGAGGATAATATTTGGACCAAAGAGAGATGAAGTGACAGGAGGTTGGAGAAAACTGCATAATTAGGAGCTTCATAACTTGTACTCTTATCGAAGTATAATTAGAATGATCAAGTAAAGGAGGATGACATGGGCAGGGCATGTAGCATGGATGGGGAGAATAGGAATGCATATAGGATATAGGTGGGAAAGCCAGAAGGAAAAAGACCACAGGGAAGACCAAGATGTAGGTGGGTGGACAATATTAAAGGATGTGATGGTATGGATTGGATTGATCTCTCTCAGGATATGGAACCCATGGAGGGCTCTTGTGAACAACGTAATGAACCTTCATGTTGTTTACATTCCCTACAGAATGGACAATACTTTGTAAGATGAGGCACCAACAAAACAATTAACATTAATTTACTACATTTACATCACGAGCCTCCTATACAATTTTATATACACAAAACATAGAATATTCCAATTTGTCCGTGGGAACGCAACGAAATTACAAAAGCAACAACTGATTCGATGATATAAAACATCAATCTAAGAATTTTAGAGTTAGAAATGGAGCCTGCACGGTTCTCAGATATTGTGACTGTTGAAGATCAAAGGTCGTACATTAAGATTGAAACTTTACGTGGAAAAAACCCGACAGAAATCCATAGTGCTTTAAGTGAAGTTTGTGGCGAGTTAACAGTGGACCGTAGTACAGTTTCTCGCTGGGCTAGTGGTTTTTGTGGCAGTCGTGTGAGCATAAACGATGATCCAAGGCCAGGAAGGCCGAAAACATCAACAAATGAACGAAGTGTGAAACTTGTGTCAGATGCTCTTGAAGATCATCATGAGACATGTGAGGAACTTTCTGAAACCACGGGGATTCCACCAACATCAATATTCCGAATATTCAATATTCTGACAAATGATTTAAAGAAGAGAAAGAGTTCTGTGTGATGGGTCCCTCACTGCTTGACTGCTGAACAGAAGCAGAAATGTCTCGACATTGCAACCTTGCTGAAACAAAGAAAAACGACGTTGAAGGTTAACCATTCTTGTATCGACTTGTCGTTATTGATGAAACGTGGGTTAGAGACTTTGAACCGGAGCTGAAATCACAGTCCAATGAGTGGAGAGGTCCATCTTCCCCATGACCAAAAAAATTTCGATGATCTCAATCAAAGGTCAAACAAATGATGATTTTTGCTTATGATCACCAAGGAATCATCATGACAGACAGAGTTCTG